AGTCAGGCCCTGGCCCAAGTCCAAACGTGAGGGGACTTGGGCCCTCGTATCAGACCTCTTGAGGCCCAAATGTCCTGGGAATAGGCTGTTATACAACTCTAAGAACTCTCACAAACGGGTTACTTAATTCAAATCAATCCAGTTGATGATGCATGATTTAATTTAAGTAAAACTACTGATATTAACCACTGACATGCAATTATGTTTTTCTATGTTGAAATAATAATCTTAAGGAAACGAAACAGATGACATCTAAACCGGTATGCTGATATTAACTACTGTAATACAAAAACTGTTTGAAAAGCACACTTTAGCTTTGAGACGGAGATTGAAACGGGCTGATCTCTCGATCAATTATGTATTCAGACCTATTCTGATTTTCTATGTTTAACAGAGTGCTAAATTGAAACCAGTACCAAACTATACTAATTCCACAACTGATCGCTACAAATTAACAGTTCAAAACAGTCCCGTTAGGTACAAATTACACAGTCCGAGTTTCATTTAAACATAGATTTAAGCAGACTTCATTATGCAGTACATATCATTAATATCTACTTAATTACAAATGCATCGTCCAGCAGACAATCAGCTGAATATTTTCATTTCANAGTTTCAGTCAAATTATACAATGTCAATACAAATCAAAAGAAGACCTAGACAAATACAAATCATCTATCATCTATTTCATTATGGCAACTTGGACACATGGATTTCAGGAAGCCAATGTATGATGTATTTCATTTCAGCATTTCAACGTCAAAGCTACACCAATACATGGTTCAGATGTGTACCTGGAAGTGTAAAATAATAGAGAAAAGAGGAATGTCAGCAGCAGAAATAAGAGGCAGCAGCAATGCAGAATCAAACTCAAAGCCCAGGAGTGTTTTGAAAATTAAACGGGGTAGACCAAATAATCCCAGTAATACCGAAATACTTTAGACACCCAATTAGCTATCTCAAATCCACTTGAATTGACCCATAACAGTCTCAACGAACCAGAAATTATCCAAAGTCAAACAATCCAACTTGAAAATTGCTCTAGAATCAAATTAATGGACCTCTGAAACTCGAAACTAGAAGAATAGATCTCAACAATCAGAATTCAAACTAGCTCGAATTATCTGGTGGAATAGATTTTTCATCGATTATCTACTATTTTTTTTTTGATTTTTCATCGATTATCTACTGTTTTTGGATTTTGCAAGCTTAAATTTTAAAAAATCAGGCTTGAAATTCAAGAGGGAGCTTTTGGGGGAACTTTTGGAGGCTCCAAACTTGTGAATCAAGGCAAATGAATGCCTATTTATAGGTGAACTTAGGGTCCAATTTTAGATTTTCCTTTTACCCCTTAGTCCCTATTCTAATTCTATTTTTTACCCTTTATTTTCTGACTTGTTACACAAGTAACTACACCTATTCTATTGAAATCTGTACTATAGTCCATCCTAGAAGGTTCTATACCCATTACAATTCCTATTCTACCCTTACTTTACTTCAATAATTACCAAACTTAATGAAACTACCCTTTTCCATGCCTAAACTACCCTTTGAATCCCCTGAAATTACTGACCAAGCAGACCTGAACCTCCAACCCTGATAATTGGTCAATAATTGACCATGGTTAGCAAAAATCTAGATTATTCACATTGACTCCACTCATTACCTAGGCTGGTCAGTGAACTAAGGATTAATGATAAATGAACTAGGTTAAAATCAAATTAAAAGTAACATCTATTGATCATAATTGAAATCAAGCATATGAATCAAAATTGAGTCAAGATTAATCCTAAAAACGAATAGAAAGCTAAACAAGGATGAAGCCTAACTAAACTAATCAGTAACGACTAGCCCGATACTAGTAGAGACAAACATTGATTCACACAAGATCACGAGAACAGAATCAATCCACATACAAGATTAAACTATCAAAAGCATGAGCAGAGAATCAACCATAAACGGAAAAAATTGAATAAAGAAGAAAGAACTTACTGACTCGGACTTTATTAAACACAATACATCAACTGAGCCAAGTCGAACCTTCAAAACCCCAGAAGAGGTTCAAACCTCTCCAACCCTAGATTTGAAATTGTATCAGTGCCTGTTGGATTTGGGGACAACGGTTTAGGGATTTGGGTAGAGGAGGGTGAGGGGAGTGTATGGTATTAATCTGGGACTGTTTGGAGAAGTTAGGGTTTCGGGGCGGAACTTTGAATCGGAATTCGAGGAATTCGAGTGATATTTGAGGGAAAATAGACATGGATGTGGAAAGGAGAGGAGGAGAGGAGCATGAGGTGTGATTTTGGACCGGTTTGGGGTGACCGCCGCCGGACACGGCGGAGACGGTGACGGTAATTTTGAAGATTCGAGGAGTTGGGAAGGGCATTGAGGAAGACTGATCCCAGATTGGGAATGAGGAGATGGAGGAGGCGCTGTGGTGTGTTTTTGGAGGCGTTTGGTGACCGGCCGCCGCCGCAGGCGATTTCCGGTGGGCGGCAGGCGGCGGAGGGCGGTGGTGGATGGTGGGTATAAAGGCGGCTAGTCTTTTAGACGAATAGGGGGGTCTGAGAGGGGGGGGGGGGCATGAGTTCGGACAGTTATATACATATAACTCCTCAGTTCGTGGCCGTTGGATTGAGATATATCGGCGGACCAGATTAAAGAGAAAGGGAACGACGTCGTTTTGGGTGGGGTGTGGGACTGGACCGGGTTGGGACGTGGGTTGGGCTGGCCTGGGGCGTGTTTGGGTTGGGCAGAACTTAATTAAATGGCCAGAACCATTTTTGAGTGGGGTGCTGGAAAAAAAAACCATTTTTTTTTGCTATTTTCTTTAATTTTCTAAAGTAACTTTACTACTAAATAATCCTAAAATGTGAAATTAAATCCTAAATGCAAATGCCAAGTATTTTTGTGTTTTTACTAATTAAAATGCGCAGATAACATGCAGTCAATTAACCTAAAATGTCACCAAAAATCCACAAAATTGTAACATAATGAAAGAAATCATTTTGTTTGAATTTCTAGGAGTAATTCACGTAGGGCAAAAATCACGTGCTCACAGGGGAAAATTTAAATGGGGAAGGGCAGGGCAGGGCAGGGTAAAATGTTATTTTTTTTAAAAATTAATAGGTTGGGGCAGGGCAGGGCAAGGTCCAAATTAATAGATGAATCGAGTAAAATAGAAATGACCCGCGTGTTTTATTATTTTTTCCAATCCCTCTTTTTCCAATCCCTCGTCGGCTCTTCCAAAAAGTCAGAAACCCTTCCCTTCAGTTCTTCTAATCTTCCAGGAAAAATTCAATCTCCAACAACAATAAGTTTCAAGGTGACGCTCTCTTACTTTCAACTTCTCTTTCCGTTGTAACAACTCTTATTTCTCTCTTGACTTTTAGCTTTTTTGCTATGTTTCCTGATATTTCTTGCCGCCTAAGAGGTGTTTGATTTTTTGCTCAGTAGAGTGATGTTTTGAGATAAGGGACAAATTTTTCATTTTGTTGGATGCCCCCGAAGGGAAATGACGGGCCAACTCAAATGTTCAAAGTTACAACAGAATATTAGAATGTTTTGCTGAAAAAAACCAATTTTTTTTGCTTTTGCAATAGTTAATCTATGGCGCTCAGAGTATGAATGTTGCTTTTGCAATAGTTAATACAGTCGCCTAAGTTTCTTTCATGTTTAATATCAAGATGATTGTTTGCATCACTGTACCTCCCAGCATTCCTGACCATATACCCTGTATACACCAGAATAACATACCCATTTTTCCTTTAATACAAATAGAGATATTTGGTTTTGAGAATGTTAATGGAATATATTGATGATTCATAACTGATGAGATTGCGCAATGCAAGAACGATGACTGCAGCCATTGTTAGTCTTCATTTATTCTGCTTTAATTTCACTTACATGAACTGATGCATCATACAAATAAAATTTTTAACAGTATATATCTATGTCTAATTCTAAAGTTTAGAAGCTGCTGATTTTGGATGTCTTGCTCCTAGTTCATTGCTCACTCTCACATTGTTCATCAGCATGTCACATTAAAGGAAATCAAAAAGATACTTTATTTCAATCCATAATTATCCTTATAAAATATCAGAAGGAGAAATGAACAACGAGAAAAAGATAAGTTACAACGAAAACTGACCTTGCTGCTGCATTGAATCCAACTGATAATTTTATTATTTTTGTACTTTGCTACAATGGTTTTGGTTTTCTGTGTAGTAGTGATTCAAAATTAATTCTTGTTATTTGATAAAGTTTTCATCTTTCTTGTGTACCCTTTGTTTTCTTTAAGTCCGTGTAACAATTGGTATGAATTTCTCTTGAATATTCCGAGATTTATATTTGTGGTTTCTTGTTTCAGAGAATTAAGTTCATTATTAAAGTATGTTAATTGCTTGATGCACTTTCTGCTTTAGGTAATAATGGCATCTCAAATTGAAGAGAATCTACCAGCTTCATCTTCTAATGCTATTTCCTTAGACGATGAGAGTCAACGGCCTTCACAACCTGATGAAGTTGAACCGAAAAAAAAGAGATATTCCAAAGCATGGGATCATTTCGAGCCGGTGAAGGTTAAGGGTGTTCCATATAGTGCTTGTAAGTATTGCGATCGCCGGTATAAAAATGCTAGGAATTGTGGGACAAAATCTATGTTAGATCACATGCTTAAGTGTCCTAATAGGCCAAGAGATGCACAAAATGAGGGCGATACCGGGGGTGGTTATTTTGATCATGTTTCACATAAAAAGCTTGCACATGCCATTATTTTACACGAGTATCCACTCTCTATAGTTGATCATGTGGGATTTAGGAACTTTGTTGCGAGTCTTCAACCTATGTTTAAGATGGTTTCCAGAAATACAATCAAGAATGACATAATAAAAATCTTTGACAATTTGAAATCGCAAACTTCTATGTTGTTGGAGAAAGTCACGAGTAGAATTGCAATAACAACCGATATGTAGACTTCCAATAGTAACAAAAAAGGGTTCATGGCTATTACTGGTCATTTCATTGATGATTCATGGAGGCTTCAAAGTCACATTTTGAGATTTGCTTATGTGCCTGCTCCACATGATAAAGATGCCTTGTGTGGTGCTTTGGTTAATTGTTTGTTTGATTGGAATCTTGAACGAAAAATATCAACTATCACAGTTGATAATTCTAGCACAAACAATGCTATGATTAAAACTTTATTGGATGAGAAACTCAATAAAAATGATTTGTTGTTGACTGGTCGAGTATTTCATGTGTGTTGTGCTGCACATATTTTAAATTTGATTGTGCAAGAAGGGTTAAAAGTGATAGGAGATAGTATTAGCAAAGTGCGTGATAGTGTCTTGGATTGGATTGGATCAGCTGGCAGAATTGAGAGGTTTGAAGAAGCCGCATGTTTGGTTCACTGTTCTTGTTATAAGAAGTTGGAGTATGATTGTCCTACTCGATGGAACTCAACATATTTAATGTTGAGAACAGCTATAGAATACAAAGAGGTGTTTAACAAGTTGAGTCTAACTGACACAAATTATAAGTCGTATCCAACTGAAGAGCAATGGAGTAATGCAGAAGATGTTTATGATAAGCTCAAACTTTTTTATCATATCACTGAACAGTTTTCAGGAACTCAATATCCAACTTCTAGTCAATACTTTACAAAAGTTTGTGAAATTAAACTAGAATTGGAAGCTTGGGTGAAAGAGCTTAATCCTTTGATTAGCGATATGGCATCTGCCATGTTATTGAAATTTAAAAAATATTGGGATGATGTGCATATTTTGATGGGAGTAGCTGCAATCTTTGATCCACGGTACAAGATGAGGTTGGTAGAGTTCTTTCTTCCACTGATTTATGGTGAAGAAGCTTCAACTAAAATTCAAGAAGTTCGATCCAATTGTTATGATCTCTTTCAAGATTATAAGAGTAAATTATCTGCTCCACATGATTCATTAGCATCTAGTTCTAGTGAAGTCACTAGTTTTACTCAGGGTGATCGGCTTTCGAGCTTTGATAGATTTTTAGCTTCAACTGGAGCTACCGTGGAGAAAAGATCAGAGTTGGATATGTACTTAGAAGAAGACCTACTACCTCGAACCCCTTCATTTGACAATTTGAGTCGGTGAAAGACAAATGGATTGAAATTTCCTACATTGCAAAAAATGGCTCGTGATCTCTTAGCCATTCCCGTGTCTAGTGTTGCTTCTGAATCGGCATTTAGCACTAGTGGGAGGTTGATTAGCCCGCATCGGAGTAGACTCCACCCCACTATTTTGGAAGCTTTAATGTGTGCTCGCACGTGGTTATGGAATGACTTAAATGGTAAGTAATTTTCTCATTATTGTCTTAATAGGTATTCAGTTGTTTAATACGATATTGATACATTGAACTATGCATTTTTCCTTTTAGGTTTGACTTCAACCGTTGATCAAGTTTCATGTCCAACATTGCTTGATGAAGAGGACGAGCCGGATTCAAGTGGTTTATCGCAACTATGAGACCCTTGACATACTTACATCCCTTTTGTTCCTCTCAAATTTGGATTGCCACATAGCTATTGTTTCAATTTATAGTATCTGTTTTTATTGCTGTTGGTACTGTTTGTCAGGGGTTATATTGTTTTGCTAGGGATATTAAAATTTTAGATTTGGTGTGATGATGAGGTAAGGGCATTTCAGTGGTTGCATTGGCTATTATGCTTTTGGGTTACAGGTTCTTGGCTTATGTTGCTCTTATGAGGATTGGCGTGACAAAGAAATAGATTTGCTTTTGCTTAATCAAAGCAAACATTAGTTTGATATCAGCAAGTGTTCCATTTGTAATTTTGATTTTTTCTCTGCTGAGATATGTACTAGCGATATGCCAAAGAACCTGCAAGTTTGAGCAAACTTTACTATTACATTATTTCTCTTTTGTTTTATAACTCCCAAGTGTAGTATTGATCTAAAATTTGAGTTGGTGGGTGTTGAGAACCCCTGAATCCATTTGTCGTATGACATGAACCAAAGCCACGACATCAAAAAGAATTAGAAAAAAAAATATGGACAGAAAGCAGTGAACAGCCCTTTCCCAAGGTAGCATCTTTCATCAATAAAATTCAATCTCAGCTAATTTCAATATTTAGGACTAATATATGTGAGCTTATTCATTATTTAACGTTGCTTAAATTACTATTCAAAATCTTGATTAGGAAGTACATGAATCTGATAATGTTCACAGGCATGTTTCATGTTCAAAATTGTAGCTCATAACTAGATAAAATTTTGCTTCGTTGGCTGAAAAACTGGATTTAAGTTATATACGTTGACACGTAAAAATTTACTTTTTACTACCAATGCAATTTAACCGAATATATATAGCACGTGATTACCCCAAATTTTAAGACTAATTTTGTTACTAGGTTTTACATGGAGAGTTAAACACATGTTAATGGTGTACAGTATAACACTTCTTAGAATTAGAAAAAAAAAATTACAAGAGTGGGCAGGGCGGGGCAAGGCGGGGCGGGGCGGGGCAGGGCAAAATTTGAAAAAATTCTAAATAGGGCAGGGCAGGGCGGGTCAAAATATTAGCAGGTCAAGGCTTGCCCCGCCCCGCCCTGCCCCAATTGCCACCCCTAAATCCGTTTAGTGAGATCCTCGAGCATTTTCATAATGGTGGGGTCAGTCCCCCATTCATTGGCATTCGGTCTCTCTGGTACAGGTTCGGCTCTATGAATAAACTTCTTGTGATGTTTCAAGCTCAATTCTGCTTAGTGCTCGATTCTGATTTTGGAGTTGTGCTATCGCGGCTTGTTGAGTCTGCAACATCTCGAATATCATTCGAAGGCTAATTCCGCCTTCATCACTGCTCTGTGTGTTTTGATCGGCTGCTCGAGCATCCCTACGGATACTATTCTCAAGGTCGACGCCCAAATTCGCATTAATGGCAATGCGGGAGCTGACATCGACTGGGTCTACGGCCAGCGGTCCGTCGGGGTTGACTGGAGAAACTCCGTTTCCCGGGGCGGCAACGTTTTCGTTCTCGCCATGGAGACCAAGGTCGTTATTCGTGTGAGTGGGTGCTACTTGAGAGTTTGACATATTGATTCCTGAAATCAAAGACACTCACGAGAACAAGCGTAAAGCAGTGTGTGTTACGAGAATTAGTATCAGGCAATCACTATTATCCTTAGCCCCACGGTTGGCGCCAAACTGTTTACCCTTAATATTGGATAACAATTAAACTTATAATGTGATTTTAAGGACACGTGATTTCACCTAATACCAATTGATAAATGTAAAGATTAGTAATATAAATCAACAATGATATAAAGAAAACAGTGTTGAAGCGTGATTCAGCCCTCGAACTAGGATGCCCTCGAGCTTGTCAGTACTAAATAGTTAAGAAATAAGCAAGCTCATGAACAAGAAAATAAGCTAGAAAGAAAGTGTTGTATTGCTTTGATATACGTGAATGTCAGATGCTTACAAAATGATTAGAACCCTCTTTATATAGTAGAGGAATCCTATCTATGGTACAATTCTAATTACGGAAGTAAATCTCATGATTAGCCTAAACAACCGCCCTTGATTTGATCTGTTCCGAGATTTACGTCATGGTCTTCGACCAGTCACGGATATCTCGCTTTTCTGTTATTGCGCTTTGCTTGAAGTATGCCCTATTTGGTCTCGATCTCTACTGGCCTCGATCTCGACATGCACCTCGATTCTCAAACTCGGTACCTTGTCCTCGTGCTTCGGTCTGATCCACTGTGGGCCGACCTTTGATGCAACTCACTGGTCTCAATCAAATAGTAGAATCGGGTAGGCCCAATTTTAACCGTATACAGAAATAAATCATACTAACATATCTGATTTTATATATGGTATAAGAATCCTATTATTATTATTTTATCATATAAATATATTTTGTATTACCATATAATTCAAGTATAAGTAGCAAGTGAATAGAATACAATGCGATAATATAAAGAATATTGATACCAATTAAGTCATATATAAGGTAATCAAGTAAATACTTATAGTTAAAATTGTTAATATGATGGAAGTAGTAAGTAATCTACTAAAGTTTATGGGTTCTGAATTAGCAACGAAATTCATAGCTCGTCTTAGTTACTAAATTATATTTATATATTTAATGAATTTTCTAGTACGGAGGTGTGAGAGGTTGACATGGGAGGGCCTACGGAGAGGTAGAGATAGGCCAAAGAAGAGGTGGGGAGAGGTGATCAGGCAAGACATGGCGCAGCTTCAGCTGACCGAGGACATTATAGGAAGGTATGGAGGCCGAGGATTAGGGTAGTAGAGTAGGTAGTCTAGAGTGTTCATAACAGTAGTATTGGCACGCGGTCTCGCTTTCTGTTAGTAGTAGGTTTTTATGACTAACCGTTGTTTCCTTCATTGTTGATCACCTTGCTATCTTGTTGTTTTTATTCTGCTTTTATATGGCTTTTTGGTACTGTCCCTTCTTTTCATTAATGTGGTGCTTATGTTTTTCTAAGTCGAGGGTCTATTGGAAACAGCCTCTCTATCCTCACAAGGTAGGGGTATACCTGTTTATCGGGCAGGCTGGGACGGGCTGAACGGGAAAAACTCCAGCCCGTTCAGTTATTGGGCGGGCTGCTTAGCGGGCTGTGATAACGGGCTGGGGCGGGTTGGGAAGTTTTGGGTTTTTTAGGGCCCGTTCGGGTTCGGGCGGGCAGGGCTACTGTTTTTTTTAAAATTAAATTTTATTTTTCTTATTCAATGTTATTGATACTTAAGTATTTGCAAACTTATAAGGCTTAGAATTAAACTCTGAAGTTTAAAGTTTAAAGTTTTAAATTTGAAATTTGTATTTTAAAATTATAAAATTGAAATTAGAAAGTAAGTGGCTACAAAAAATTATTTAATAAGACCAATAGGCAATATGTAAGGAACAAACTCCGAAGGCTTTCATTTTATATTCTTAATACTTCAAATTAGTTTGCAAGTTATATTTTGATTTTTTTATTTTTGAACTTGCAAATTAAAAGTTTACAACAACTATAAAAAATAAGAAATAGTACATCACACATTTTGCATCATTTTTGTAAGTTCTTCCATGTCAACATGAGGTTCTAGGTTTCCGGCATTGGTTGAATCGGAACCATAAACCATTATATTTCCAATTTCTTGGTCCTCCTCTTCGTCTACCTCGCCACGCCCTTGATTTCGCCGTTCTGATCTTATCCAATCTCTGAAGCACACTAGAATTTCCAAAGCGTTGCTGACCAATGAATGACAGGTATCTCCTAGTTGCTGCCTTGCTTGGCTAAATGCGCTCTCTGATGCGGCTGTTGAAATCGGCACATTTATCACGTCTCGAGCCATGGCCGAAGGAACAGGGAATTGATTTGAGTTGCTCTTCCACCAACCCAGCGGTAGAAAATACTTTGTGATGGGCTCTGGTGACTTTAGCAAGTAGAATTGTAGTTCATCAATATTCCTGCTACTGGTTTGTTGATGCTCTCCTAGTGTAGACCAAATCAGATAATCTTGAACACAATCATCATCATCCATAGTTGTTCCAGATGTTGAAGGATTAGTTGAAGGAATATTTGCATCTACAACCGAAGAAGCATCAACAATGTTAGCATAATAATTATATAAAGTTTGTAAATGTGTGTGTAGCTCAGAAATACAAGTGTCAATATCAGGAGTTTCAGTTGGTCCAATATCCATATAAGTATATAAAGCTCTAATTAATTAGCGACACTTTATCATTTTGACAGTAGGGTTTAAAATAGCACCAATTAGGTAAATATAGGGAATTGGGTAGAAATATTTTTTAAACTTATCTAGCATAGATTCAACAACAGTAGCATATCATTCTTTCTGCTTCAAATTATGTAGTAAAAGAGAAATTTCAGCAATATGAACTAAACCATTTGCAATAGTAGGATAATAAGCTCAAGAAAACTCAAGTGTAGCCACATAAAAATTTTGTAAAAAGTGTACAACATCATGAATGACATCCCAAGTTCTAGATGTTAACAAACGGCTAGGATCGGTACAATGAGAATTAGCAACTTCAGTTATAGACATTCTATATTTATAACAACATCTTAAGAATAAATAAGTATAATTCCACCTAGTAACTATTT